ATATATATATATATATATATATATATATATATATATATATAAATTAAGTGGACTCGGTTTTGTTTTTCATAATTTTCACCTGTTATTTTGATTGAACTGAACGCTACGCTCGTGGTTTTTGTTTCTCTGGACCTTCACCTTTAAAGAAGTTCTGTTGGGCTTTTTAATTGATTTATATTACACGTTGAGACTGGACTCAAAGGTTTTCCTATTTGCACCTCTTTTTTCATTTCGTAATCCCAATTTTTTAAACATTTAACAATTTAAAAATATGGAATGAGATTTTTGTTTCTATCCTGTGCAATAAAATGGAATGAAAAGTTTATTAGTGCAAGACATTCTAGAAAATAGTTTTTATTTTGTTTCGTAAAACTTTTCTATTTTATTTTTTAATACATATAGAAATATTATTCCATAGGTGTGTTCACAATTTTAGTATGATTTTATAAGTAATTTGGGTGAAGGGTGTTTGCACAACACAAAAAACACAGCATGAACAAGAATCCCTAAAGAGTTATAAAGAAGAAGAATTATGGATCAATTATGAATTTTCTAAAAGAAAATAAAGAGTACATATTATGTATATTGTTGCTGATCAGCACCTCTCAGTCGTTGAGTGTCATTCCTCTCGCATTTATAGTGTCTGAACGCCACCCTCTTGCAGTTGAGTGTCAAACGTCTAACAAATCTAGCCTTCAGGCCTCGCTAACTGTCGCTGAGCGCCACACTAAAACATTACAAACCTCTATTTTCTGACCTTGACAGCTCTCTATACCTATACAATTGGCTATGATATCCTAGATATTAAGAATGCTTTAGAAACATGTTTTTAGCCTAAATGGACACCCTACACTAACTTGCCTATTCTAACTTACCTAAACTCACTTCCACTTTTTTTCATGCAAAGATTAACATCCAAGGGTCCAAACCAGTCAGAAATGATCTAACAACATATCTCAAACTCTCTACTTTAGTCCAGACCTACTACATTATAATCTCACGAGTCAAAACTTCTAAATTTGTACTTAAAACCTTATAAAACCATTCTATTACCTCTTACTTATTTCTATATCAGATTTTTATTAACTCAAGGTGCCAACAAGTTTCAAATGACCCTATAATATGTCATAGATTGTTGTTTCTCCCCTTAAACCCTTACTTCTAAAATTCACCTATCAAAATCTCCATTTTTGACCAAAATAACTTATAATTCAGCCTAACCCACTTCTTCTCAACATCATAACCAATTTAACACCCCCAAACTTCTCAACATTAATATTCATGACAATAATCAAGCCCAAATAGAATCATTAAAGTCCACCAACATCATTCAACCAAGTACATTCATTCAAACATACTTAATACTAAGAACAATTAACATGCATTAATCTCACATACTATCAAATATCAAATTATATTTCATAATTTAATTTAAAGAAAACACTAGCCTCCCTTACCTGGTTAGAGAAACTACCACAACTCTCTACGGTGCAATACCTTACCTTAACTCAAAGAACTTTGAAAAGACCTACAAACAACAAAACAATGATCAAAGTAAATCCTTAGGACTACTGATCAACAAGAATCTTAAAAAAAAAGAACGACATATGCGATAAAACTTATATACATGTGTCTTAAACTACGAATTTAAGGAAAATAAGTAAAAACTTACTTGCTCTATCAAAAAAACTGATCGGTAGAGAATGGAGGATTCACTACCGTGATCTCCTAGACACTTCTTAATCGTCAAACAAATGATTCATGAATAAGAATTCTTATAGATAAGGAAAATAGAACTCAAAGAAAGAGTTCTAAAGAGATGATGACTGTTTTAGACAATCAAACGCGTTTATGAAAATTTATTTATATTATTAAATTATTTTATCATTAAAATATTTTGTTTCATTATTTTAAAACAATATTTTTTATGTTCTTACACATCACATACACATTAACATAATTAATAAATAATAAATAACAAATAATGTTATTTATTATATTCATTAAATGTATTAAATGCATTCATTAAATGTATTTGGAGAGAAGGAAAAGAGAATTGAAAAAAAGAGTTCCAAAGAAAAAATGAGTATTTTAGATAATCATGAGTGCTTTAGACAATTAAATACATTTATTTATATTATTAAATTAATTTATCATTAAAATTAATAAATAATAAATAATGTTATTTATTATATGAGTTTAAAAAATACATATGCATTTAATACATTTACTAATATATAATGCATTCTTCTCGATCGTATTCAATTTCTTTTAATTTTTTTTGTTTATTGAGTATTTTAACTTTTAAAATTGTGCCATATATTTTTTACTTGTCTATACATATTAAGATAAATAAGATTTTATGGTTAAAATTAATCAAATATTATAAAAAAAAGTTAATAAATGACTTTTATTTGTTTTACTTTAAGAACATGTTGATAACGATATTATCATATTTATAATGAATTTTATGTTATCACTTACAACTATCAAGTGACTCTCAGCTTCTGCAGGTGTGATGGTGATTTCATGTTTTCAATAATAACAATAAAATTTATTTTTTATTTTATATAAAATAGCAATATAATTTTGGGCTTAATTAAGTTTATAGATTTTCAAAATTTTTGGATACTTTTAAACGAGTCTTATTAAATTTTATTTATCCGTTGAATATTTAATATTTTTTATATTTTTCAATTGAATATTTATTATTTATTTTTTTCCGTTAATATGGTGACAAAACTATTATTTTACTTCATCTGTCTCCACTTATTAACAAATGTGAGACGTTGTGATTCTTATATAAATGTAAATTGACGATTGAATATGTTAAAAATTCTTAACAAAAACTCAATAAAAAATATTAAAATTTATAAAAAAACCTTGAATATTAATTAAATTATTTATTTAACTTGTTTTTAAAATTTGTTAATTTTATATAGTCAATGATGGCCAACACTTTGTTAATATATTATTTATGTGATTACTAAGTAATATCATTTATCATATATTTAATATAACATTTATATTATTTGCATTCAATTAATATTATTTACATATACGTATTTAATATATTAAATGATATAGATAATGCATTTAATTAATATTAAATGTAAAATTTCTGTCCACCGAATTTTTATACTGAATAAAATAAATACAATAAATGTTGAATATTTTTTATTTTCTGTCAATGATATTTAAGAGTTTGTTTCTGGCAATCTCGCGTTCTCTCTCTCTATATATCACACAAAATTATAAACTAAATAATATCATCATATAAGATTAAATTATGTTTAAATGATTACTTTTGATTAAAATTGATTTATTCATGAAAATCACATATATTTTTTATAAAAATTTACTTTTAATCTACTTTTTGTTAAATTATTGAAAACTGATTTTAACTAAATTATAAAATCTATATATTATTTATGTAACTACTTTAAGTTATAGAAAGTATATATATAAGATTTCAAAACTATGATTAGTATCTTAGAAGATAATTAAATAATCACTATTTAATTTAAATCCAAGTGAATAATATAATTTAAATTAATGTCTCACAATAATTAGTTTCATTTTCTTAAAAATAATACATTTTGTGAAATTGGTATAATGATGTAAATCGTTTTCTTTAAAGATGTATTAGAATTACAACAAACTTTGTTTTATTTCTTAATTATCATTATAATTTAGATTTATCTCTGTAAATGAATTTTATGTTATAAACGACGTTGTTTTTTCCATTATGTATGGATAATTCATGGAATCGAAACAAAAAATATTGACCCGAGGTGCATGTCTGAATGTTAACAACACTGAGACCAGATGCAGTACTAAAAGATGAAAAAAAACAACAGTAAAAACAAATTCAGATGCAATTTTCTTCGGTTACGATAATTTTTTTAATTTAATTTTTAAATTTTAATGTCAAGAAAAAGACAACAGAAACTACATTATTATCTAATAAATGAATCTATATTTTTTAACCACTGGTCGTTTAAAATAACTAGTTTGTTTATGATGACTTCTTAATTTTTAAAATTAATATATACATACATATTTATTTATATTATTTTATTTAAATTTAAGATATTACTCAAGCAATTTAAATTTACAGCATATATAGAAGGGATTTGAAGTCACCAGTTAAACAGAATCAAATAGTATATGGAAGTTATGTTTTTCATATATGTAAAAATTAATTAAGCTGCATTTGATGTCGTTTTAATTTAATATTAGCAATCAATATTTTTTATAAAAAATGTATCTTTATTTATTAACCATTTTTTCCATATTTTATTCCTTTAAAAAAAAGAATACAGTTTTGGTTTAGTTTTCGATTATATTATTTTGGTTTAACCGAATCCTAAACCTACACGATTATTTAACACACACACACACATATATATATATATATATATATATATATATTAATTTATTTAATTAAAATACGATAATAAAAAGTATACGGAATTTAAATTTGTAGGCTAGAATTATGAATATGAATTTAAAAATTCGTGTATAATATTGTTTTTTATTTTCTTGATACAAAAGATAATTGCAATGTAGGTAAAAGGATATATTGTTTTTGTATTGATTTAAAGAAATATAAATTTAAATAAAAAAGATAAGATGTTAAATAGCAGATAGAAAAAAAGAGGAAATAAATATCGAAAGAAAGAAGAGTTAATTAGGGAAAGAAGGAAAGGTGGCGGCGGCACGGAATGAGATAGAAGAGAAAGCATAACAGTGTTGCATTCCAAATCCCTCGTAATTAGATCCAACGGCTGGAATCAAAGAAAGTGGAGTAATCGAACCGCGAAAAGGAGAGCCGCGTTTACGAAGCCAACCCAGGAATAAGAATTCTTCATCCTCTTATATGCCCCTTCCGTGCCGCGCCCACTTCTTTCTTCTTCTTCTCTCTCCTCGCAATTCCAGATTCGTTGTTTCTCTCTCTAGAAACCCCCTCGCTCCTTTTCCTTTTTTCCGTTTTTAGCTTATTCCATATTTGGCCTTCGTCACTTCACTCACATCCATTTATAGAAAAAAAATAGACAGAGAGAGTGAGAGCGAGCGAGAAAGAGGAAGTGTTCGGTCACCCTTTATTGATTTTATCGATTGATTGGTTTTTTTATTCCTTGATTTACGATGCAACAATCGAACGGTTCCGATTCCTCGTTGCAGTCGCAATCCGCGGAGCATGTTCCGCGGCAGCCGGCAGGGTCTCCGGCGGTGGCGCGGCCGCAGCAGTGGCTCCCGATGCAGTATCCAGCGGCCATGGTAATGCCGCACCACATGCTGCCTCCGCAGCACTACGCGCCGCCGCCGTACATGCCTTTCCATCACCACCAGTACGGGCCGCCGCACGTCCCGCATCAGCAGCATCAGAACGGATCCAGCGGCGAGAACAAAACCGTCTGGATCGGCGATTTGCATCACTGGATGGACGAGAACTATCTCCATCGCTGTTTCGCCTCCACCGGCGAGGTACACATTCATACTCGATATTCATACAACACACAAAGAACGAATCAATGAGAACTGTTGTCGTATGCATAATATTGAATGAAAATAATTGTAATTCTTTATAGTTTAATTTTGATATAGTGTTGTTTAATTTCTCAAACAGTTAAAACTATTATTGTTACAATGTATATTTACATATGTACATATATGTTATATGTATGATAATGCGTTCGGATTTAATTCCTATTTGTGTTTATATTTATTACGTATGCGGAAGATTTGTTCTTATTTTAATATAAGTAAGAGATGTAGTAAACAATGTTCTATACGAGTGTTTTTTTTTTATTATTCTTCGTTATCAGCTGATTTCGAGAACGTTAAAAAAACTCATTTTTTAACATAATTTGATTTTTTTTCGTATTTTTGAGGGTTTTTAAAATTGAATTAGACTTTTATCTCGATTTAAGGTTATAGAGATTATATCAGTGAAAAAAATCTAAGGAATTGCATTGAAGATTTTTTTTGTCATTTTTTAGTTGGTTGGATTTTTCTGTGTGATTTAATTGGGGAGGTTTGGGTGCTTACAGGTAAATTACGTGTTTTTCTTTTTGGGGTTGGTGCTTGTGTGGGGTTTATTTTCTGTGTTAACGCGGTACTATACAAGATTGTCAACGCATGCATGTTTGAAGTGTCAACTTCATTGATATATTGAAAAGGAAAAGTTCTTTTGAGCACCGAGGGTCTGACTAATAACTTTAACTTGGAAATTTTATATATAAATTTACTAGTTATGTGATATTTTGACTTCTATTAAAGCTATGTATGGTTATGCTGTCCAAAATTGTTTTTAGTGGAGTGAATGAAAATTTTTCCTTTGCAGGAATAAAATAAAATGGTCACACATAATTGATGAAAATAAATTCGTATTTGTTTGATGGACGAAGAGTGGTAATATAAATGTGGATGTCATTTATTTTCTTTCTTGTGTCTACGTTAATTAACATTCATTAATTAGATGAAAAAAAATTTGCATTTCGGAGGCTTAATTTGTTAGGACAAAGATGTGGCCTATGCTTCTCATATCCAAGCTTCTGACTGTTATATAATTTTACAGATTTCCTCTATCAAGGTCATTCGCAATAAGCAAACTGGCCTATCAGAGGGTTACGGATTTGTGGAGTTCTATTCACGTGTCACTGCCGAGAAAGTTTTGCAAAACTATGCTGGAATGTTGATGCCCAATACAGAGCAAGCATTCCGTCTAAACTGGGCATCATTTAGCACAGGAGACAAGGGTTCAGATAATGTTCCTGACCTTTCTATTTTTGTAGGAGATTTAGCTGCAGATGTTACAGATAGTTTGTTGCATGAAACTTTTGCTAGTGTGTTTCCTTCTGTTAAAGCTGCAAAAGTTGTTTTTGATGCCAATACTGGCCGTTCAAAGGGCTATGGTTTCGTCAGGTTTGGCGATGACAGTGAAAGATCCCAGGCCATGACTCAGATGAATGGTGTTTACTGTTCCAGCAGGCCTATGCGCATTGGTGCTGCAACACCAAGGAAATCATCTGGCCACCCACAGGGTATCCCAAATTAGATCACTTGCTTCTGATTTCTGATATATCTCTTTTCATTTGGTAGGGTAAAGGAAAAGATATGTACATAATGCATTCCGTACAAAGAAAATGCTTCCAGCCACTTATATCATTTTAAATTTTCAGCTGTTCTTTAGTTTGAGTACTACATTTCTTGCTCAATAAATTGAAATGAATGTTTTGTGCTTTAGATGACGATTTCAATGACTTTCTAAATGGGTGTAAATTCCTTGAAATATATGTCATATGTCATGTTATTTTTAGTTTTCACAGCAAAAGAAAGAAAAAAAAGACAATTACTATGTTTGTTTACTAATGTAAATGAACGTCAAATATGTTTTGATGGTTTCATTAATAGGAGTTGGGGTAGTTAAAAATCATGCCATTTATTCATAGGTTTGGATTGTGTGAAGTGTCAATTAGGTCACCTATGGTGTGCACGATAATTAATTGCTTTTTTAAGCTTCAAACTAAACTATTCCAAACATATACCTGGTCGTTAATTTCCCCCTGTTTTTGATTTAGACGTCTTCAATTTCCTTTTGATAATACATCTCCCTCTATTTTCCTCTAAATTTGTTTTTGATTCATGTTTAGATCCTCACCTAAGTGAGAAATTTTAGGTTATTGTTGATCCCACTTGTAGGAATAGTCATGGTTGTTGATGTTGCTTTAGTTTTCCCATTTCTTGCCATGGTAAGAGTTTGAAATATTTCTACCAGCTTTGTATTGATTTTGTAAGTTTCCTTGTTTAGGAGGTCAGTCAAATGGCACATCCAGCCAATCTGAAGCAGATTCTACCAACACAACAGTGAGTTTTCCAGTTTTAGTGGATAAATATTTGTAGTCTAGTGATTTGCTACCACTTTCTAATATCTAACCGATGACTCGTTATAGATATTTGTTGGAGGACTCGACCCTAATGTTTCAGATGAGGACCTCAGGCAGCCATTCTCCCAGTACGGTGAGATAGTCTCTGTTAAGATACCTGTTGGAAAGGGATGTGGTTTTGTGCAGTTTGCAAACAGGTACAAATTCTGGTATTTTAGTTTCTTTTCATATTGACAGATAACATAATTTTAGACTCTTTTTTGTGTAATCACAACAACATTATTCTGATAAACTTTTTCAGAAATAATGCTGAAGAGGCGTTGCAGAAGCTAAACGGGACAACAATTGGAAAGCAGACTGTCCGACTTTCTTGGGGCCGTAATCCAGCAAATAAGCAGGTAAAGTCATATAGAACCCCACATTCACATTATCATTTGTATGTTAATCTAAAACAAGTATTGTTTGATGACCAACAAATCTTCCTAGTAACGCCGTTTATTGTATCTGTTATTGGCCTCTTATAATCATTTAAAATATAAATTATACGAACATTTTTTTATATTCTTTTAAGATCAATGAATTAAAGCTCAGTTTTTGTGAATTTCATTTTCCCATAAAAAACTTTGGAAGTGTTACAGTACTGTATTGACTTTATGCTGCCTGTCATTAAATTACATTTGTGATGATTCACTCTCAATTGGTATTTCTTTGGATTGCAGTTTAGAATGGATTTCGGCAACCCCTGGACAGGGGCATATTATGGGGCCCCTATTTATGATGGTTATGGATACGCATTGCCTCCTCGTCATGATCCCAGCATATATACTGCTGCGTATGGGGCTTACCCTCTTTATGGTGCCCACCAGCAACAAGTAAGCTGAATGCAGTGTGGTGCAGTGCAATAGAGAAGTAGCTTTCACAACAAGTTACACAGAATCACCCTTCAATGTGCAAATTAACTTCTCTCGCTTTGTAACTTGCCTGATCTGTTGAATTTTTAAGAATTCCTCCTAATTGTGGAGTGGAAATGAATTTTGATAGCCTGAGGTAGCGCTGTAGGGATTCAATTAGTCATTTGTTTAGGCCTTGTAGGGGTAATGACTAAAGAGGAGCTTAAACTTATTATAGGAATAATTGTCTTATGTATGACAGCTTGTGTGCTTGCGTGCATTTTATTTGTTTGACATTGAAGCTTTGCTTTGTTCGCTTTCAAGGGTCATTTGGTTTCTTCTTTGCCAAATTTTACCTGCATGTCTGCTTTTCAGAAGATAATTATAGAATTCGAGTTCATAGATGTAAGAGATCTCGTCCACTTTGTTGTGCTCAATGGATCGGAATTTGAGCATATTTTGCTCGAGTTTCTGAATGTGTTTATGCATTCTTTGGTTTAGTTTGAAATCTATTTCAAACTAATGTGGTTGGAGAGAGTGTCCTTAGGACTAGTTAGATCTTCACTTTTGGTTCCTCTAAAATAATTTCATACTCCTTTATGTGATTGTATTGGTTTCTGTTTTCTCTCTATGGTATGATTTGAAGTGCATCATTTTTTAGTTCTGCCCAATTCATGTCCGGAAAGTTTTGACGTCCCATCTTTACATCAAGAGATGGAAACTGTGCGCATTTTTTTGTGGGTCAAGTCTGTATATTTTTTGAGCATTTTTCCCCCACACTTGAACAATTAAATCATATCTTTAGTTTTGGCGTTCCGGAACGGAAAGAGGTGTGTCTCGGATTCCCAGAAATCCCTCCTTCATTCTTTCTACAGTACATGGAAATATGGTTGTTCCACCTTTAAACCTAAAAGAAATAAAATGGACATTGGCATAAACTTAGGCCCTTTTTCATAACTCCTTAGTCTTTCTCTCCCTCTAATTTCATGTTTATTTGGAAAGAAAGGGGACGGAAGAAGGCAGTAAAGACTTTGGAATTGAGTTGCTTTAGCTTAAAGAGTTGAAATTTGGCAGACTGAAGTTACATTTTTTTCTGCTCGAATATTAATAGTTCATATAGAGATAAATGAAGTATTTCTGTAACTTACATAAACTTATCCTTGAATTTTTTATGTTTTTTTACCTTTATAAGGATTTATACTGATCTTAGGTGCTATATTTTTTTCCTAATTAGAGGCGAAAATCTCATTGATGAATTTGTATGAAACTCATCAAATATTTCGCATCTATTTTAAGGATATTGAGACCAAATAGACCTAAGAGTTGAATTCGGGAGGAAGTTCTCCCCGAAGAAAAAACGAGATCATGGTTAACGCTCGCTTTGGTTGGTAACTTGGAACCATGTGCCCAGCTCCTCTTACAGTGATGAGGGTGAGTCCTTTGTACCCAATCAAGTATCCTCCAACCTGCATTTTGTATGTTGTTGATTACCTAGATGCTGCTTGAAATTCTGATTATATATGGTAAATGAAAATTCTTATTAAGTTATTACCTCATCTCCAGAATACCAGGGACGCCATGTTGTCTCCACTGGAAGTTTCAAGGCATTTACTGAATACCTAGATGATGTTATGGGAACGCGCCCATCTGTATCACCACTGCATTATAGAACAACAACGTTACAAAAAAGCCATGATAGTACTGTCTTCGATGTAACAAAGTAATTTGTATAGTGTACTATCACCTATATATCCAGGTCCTTATGCCACTTGATATTATCCGATTTATAGTGGGTAGAATTGTTGCTGGGCTGTCTGTCCATCCCACTCCACTGAACACAAGCGTCACATGCATATTCATTCAGGAAATAGAACAGTTACAATTCATTCAGGAAAATGCATTGAGAAAAACACAATCAGAGAATTGTGTACCTGCAAGGAGACCATTCTGAGACTTTAGCATGAAGAGCCTCTTGCACTTGAGCCAGATTCAAGTAGGATTTAGTATATTCGTCAGAACAAGGGTCGAAATTGCTGTCCTACAATGTTCGATATTCAAGAGTTTTATGCCTTAGTTTTCACCAAAATAATATTACTCCATTCATCTATGCGTTCTTAATATTCACAAGCACTAATCTCAAATGAACTGTCTGTCAAATATTGACAAAGGCAATATACACCATATTAGATTATATAAGTATTCCTCTTTCTCACTGTAGGTATAGGTAATTTCTCTGTAAATTAGTATGATCAAATTTGTTTATTAGGTATTCAAAGTTGGAGGAGCAACAATTGGAGGTAAAGAAGTGCATTCACAACATACTCCTTTCAAGGTACATAAGGGAAGCAACAATTGGAGGGAGTAAAAGTTCTAAACACTTGACAAGTATTACGTTGATTTACATCAAGCGCACACAAATGTAACAACTAGTTTTTGTGTAACTATGCCTACTCTGTTTTGGTAACTTATATACATGGTAATTTCTAAATCTTAAAACTACAAAATAGAGTTTTGGAAGGAGACAACGAAATTCCATTAAAGATGAGTTGAACTTATATTAGGTGTTTTGTAGTCCTGTTTAATGTATATATTTTTTTCTGTATTTTTTTTCTTATATAAAAAAAGAGTATTTAAAGTTGCCTTGAATGCAGATATTTAGTGCCGAAATATACACTAAAAAACAAAAAGTTGGCATAAATATAATAACCTTTTTGATAGAGAATAAAGATGTGATGATAAATCTGGATTTGACTATAATTAAATATATTAATAACTTTTAATCGTCTTAAAAAGTGGACTAGTCTACTTCACGTAACAAAAATACACAGGAGAGGAAGAGGCATGGAACTTACAGAGTAAGTGGCAGAACTTTGATCAGGTTTTGTTGCAGTTGGATCGCAAGGGGGACCATATATGTCATAAATGTCAATCACTCCAATCTCATTATCCCCTCTTATTTGGTATTCGTTGCATTCACTTGTCATGTTCCCACTCTCAAAGTCACAATGCCTTTCAATTCCTTCATGGGTTTCATCTGAGTTCAAAGCATGTGTCCAGAAATAGTCATACATTCCCTTTGCACATATATTATCATCTATCCAACCATTCCCAATCTGCATCCACAATACCAAAACAAGCATTTCATATGATTTCATAGTTTGTAGCATGTTATTAGTTATGGAATGATCTTCTCGGTCAAAACGAAAAAATATATATATACAGCAAAAGTTGACTCACTCACCGCAATGCCTTTGAGGTTAATGACTGTAAGATTTGTAAGCTTATTATTAGTGAGAATAGTGTGAGCTAGCTGAGGGACATAATGTCCGGCATAGCTTTCTCCTGTGATGAACAGGTCTCGAGATTTGTAGTGTGGAAATCTGTGAAGCCACTTTACAAGAAAAGTGTAAGAGTCCATTGCTGTGCTCTTGTCTCCCGTGTTTGAGTAGTCTGAAGAAGTGTTTGAATATGAAAATCCAACTCCTGCTGGAGACTCTAGGAANAACTTAGGCCCTTTTTCATAACTCCTTAGTCTTTCTCTCCCTCTAATTTCATGTTTATTTGGAAAGAAAGGGGACGGAAGAAGGCAGTAAAGACTTTGGAATTGAGTTGCTTTAGCTTAAAGAGTTGAAATTTGGCAGACTGAAGTTACATTTTTTTCTGCTCGAATATTAATAGTTCATATAGAGATAAATGAAGTATTTCTGTAACTTACATAAACTTATCCTTGAATTTTTTATGTTTTTTTACCTTTATAAGGATTTATACTGATCTTAGGTGCTATATTTTTTTCCTAATTAGAGGCGAAAATCTCATTGATGAATTTGTATGAAACTCATCAAATATTTCGCATCTATTTTAAGGATATTGAGACCAAATAGACCTAAGAGTTGAATTCGGGAGGAAGTTCTCCCCGAAGAAAAAACGAGATCATGGTTAACGCTCGCTTTGGTTGGTAACTTGGAACCATGTGCCCAGCTCCTCTTACAGTGATGAGGGTGAGTCCTTTGTACCCAATCAAGTATCCTCCAACCTGCATTTTGTATGTTGTTGATTACCTAGATGCTGCTTGAAATTCTGATTATATATGGTAAATGAAAATTCTTATTAAGTTATTACCTCATCTCCAGAATACCAGGGACGCCATGTTGTCTCCACTGGAAGTTTCAAGGCATTTACTGAATACCTAGATGATGTTATGGGAACGCGCCCATCTGTATCACCACTGCATTATAGAACAACAACGTTACAAAAAAGCCATGATAGTACTGTCTTCGATGTAACAAAGTAATTTGTATAGTGTACTATCACCTATATATCCAGGTCCTTATGCCACTTGATATTATCCGATTTATAGTGGGTAGAATTGTTGCTGGGCTGTCTGTCCATCCCACTCCACTGAACACAAGCGTCACATGCATATTCATTCAGGAAATAGAACAGTTACAATTCATTCAGGAAAATGCATTGAGAAAAACACAATCAGAGAATTGTGTACCTGCAAGGAGACCATTCTGAGACTTTAGCATGAAGAGCCTCTTGCACTTGAGCCAGATTCAAGTAGGATTTAGTATATTCGTCAGAACAAGGGTCGAAATTGCTGTCCTACAATGTTCGATATTCAAGAGTTTTATGCCTTAGTTTTCACCAAAATAATATTACTCCATTCATCTATGCGTTCTTAATATTCACAAGCACTAATCTCAAATGAACTGTCTGTCAAATATTGACAAAGGCAATATACACCATATTAGATTATATAAGTATTCCTCTTTCTCACTGTAGGTATAGGTAATTTCTCTGTAAATTAGTATGATCAAATTTGTTTATTAGGTATTCAAAGTTGGAGGAGCAACAATTGGAGGTAAAGAAGTGCATTCACAACATACTCCTTTCAAGGTACATAAGGGAAGCAACAATTGGAGGGAGTAAAAGTTCTAAACACTTGACAAGTATTACGTTGATTTACATCAAGCGCACACAAATGTAACAACTAGTTTTTGTGTAACTATGCCTACTCTGTTTTGGTAACTTATATACATGGTAATTTCTAAATCTTAAAACTACAAAATAGAGTTTTGGAAGGAGACAACGAAATTCCATTAAAGATGAGTTGAACTTATATTAGGTGTTTTGTAGTCCTGTTTAATGTATATATTTTTTTCTGTATTTTTTTTCTTATATAAAAAAAGAGTATTTAAAGTTGCCTTGAATGCAGATATTTAGTGCCGAAATATACACTAAAAAACAAAAAGTTGGCATAAATATAATAACCTTTTTGATAGAGAATAAAGATGTGATGATAAATCTGGATTTGACTATAATTAAATATATTAATAACTTTTAATCGTCTTAAAAAGTGGACTAGTCTACTTCACGTAACAAAAATACACAGGAGAGGAAGAGGCATGGAACTTACAGAGTAAGTGGCAGAACTTTGATCAGGTTTTGTTGCAGTTGGATCGCAAGGGGGACCATATATGTCATAAATGTCAATCACTCCAATCTCATTATCCCCTCTTATTTGGTATTCGTTGCATTCACTTGTCATGTTCCCACTCTCAAAGTCACAATGCCTTTCAATTCCTTCATGGGTTTCATCTGAGTTCAAAGCATGTGTCCAGAAATAGTCATACATTCCCTTTGCACATATATTATCATCTATCCAACCATTCCCAATCTGCATCCACAATACCAAAACAAGCATTTCATATGATTTCATAGTTTGTAGCATGTTATTAGTTATGGAATGATCTTCTCGGTCAAAACGAAAAAATATATATATACAGCAAAAGTTGACTCACTCACCGCAATGCCTTTGAGGTTAATGACTGTAAGATTTGTAAGCTTATTATTAGTGAGAATAGTGTGAGCTAGCTGAGGGACATAATGTCCGGCATAGCTTTCTCCTGTGATGAACAGGTCTCGAGATTTGTAGTGTGGAAATCTGTGAAGCCACTTTACAAGAAAAGTGTAAGAGTCCATTGCTGTGCTCTTGTCTCCCGTGTTTGAGTAGTCTGAAGAAGTGTTTGAATATGAAAATCCAACTCCTGCTGGAGACTCTAGGAAAATAACATTTGCCACTGCCAATTACCAAAAATGATTCATTAGAAATTAATACAAAAATTCGTCTCTTCATTATGTGTATTGTTAAATAGAGTTTCACTCAACTACATTAGATAAATTTAAAATATACACTTACAAATTGATTTTATATAATTGAATTTAATTTTAAATTCATTTTTTAATATAATATTAAAATATATTTATGTTTATTAAACATATCATTTTATCCATTATAATCGAACAAATTATTAATATTTAATTTTATACACAAAATATCGATAAAAAAATATAAATTTTATGAAATTGAGATAAACTTAAATTATGAATTGTGTGTATGATTCCAGATAATATTTTAGAAAAATGGTATTTTCACACTCAATTTTTTTACTTTCATTTGAGTGTCAAAATTATTCACTATTTTTTATTTTCTTTTTTATTATAAATACAAATTTTTTATTCTTTTTAATCATTTTATTTCAATATAAATATCAAATAGTTGTTGTCAAATAATGGATGGTGGAGAAAAAAACATATTTTTCTAATATTTTGACATCATGTAATTTTGCATATGTATAGAGATGCTTACCATTGTGCCATGCATATTCGTTTTTATGAAGTGTTCTTCCATCACTGTTCACTCTAAAAGGTCCCAATTCTTGCATGGCTCCATATCCAAGGGAAGAGCAACCAGGTCCTGAAAATCACACATTCAGTGATTTTTTTACATTAAAGTTTGTTTACATTGCTAGAAAAGGAAAATATTTCCATTTCTATGTTTAATTTATATTTTTTTAAAACGTAGAATAATTATCATTATAAATTCTTTGATATTTCAACTACACAAAAACAAAATATAAGACTAAATCATACTATTCAAAAAGAAAAAAAAGAAAAACAAATCAATATCTCTTAAGCTATTTTTTTATCTAGTATTAAGCTATTTAGTCCATTAAAAAGATTTTTAATTAAGTTATTAAGTTTAATCCCTCAACAGTTTTTATTTTAGTTTACTGTTAATAATATATAGATAACATGTTATGAAATTATGAGAGTGATAAGAATGGATAATAAGCATTAATGGAGTGTTTATGATATTAAGATTGTTGATATAATATATTGTTTTGTTCTTATGATAGAAACATGTTAACTTTCCGTATGAAATAAATAAAAGATAGTAAAAGAGGTGATATACAATATTTCCATTGAAGACATTATGAGATTCGTGCTTCCAATGTTGCATGGACACTTATAACAATAAGAGTATTCTAAACTTCTAAGTATTTCTTGCTTATTAAACTTGTAAATATTTTAATAATTTTTTTGTGGCAGTAATGAATTATGGCTTCCGTGTTAGAATTCCATTACAGCATATGTATAAGTTGTGTTGTCATTGTTCAATCATACGATTGATTGGGAATCTATATTATCTCACACTATATATCAATTAATCATAAATAAAAAATTAAAAATAAATAAATAAAAACCTAATTTCTACCTTTATTGCTACAATATATAATGGGTGGGGTCATGGTGCCGTAGTATTCATCATAATTGAGCCACTTTATTATTATTGGGGGCAAAAGGAATACTTTTAAATAGGCTTTTTAGATTTTTTTTTTGAAATATTCATTTATTCAATATCATGTCACAAAAATTACCATTTATATTGTAAATTTTTTTAAAAAAATCTAACCCCTTAGCAAAAAGTTGATTTTATTAATTGTTGAGATAAATTCAATTCTTTTATTATTTTAACCTCTCATATCTTGTAATAAAACCTTTCCTATAAATATTTATTAGATTTTACATATTTCATAAAAATTCCTTTTACGAAACTTAAACGAATATGAAAATTTTGTAAGGTTTATATTTCTATACAGAGGTTATTATTAGGTTATATGTATATATAAATTATTTGACACCATTTATACCTATGGATTACGTTGTAGAAGAGTTTATCCAAATGTGATTATATATATGATACGAGACTTAATACACATATTAAGATAATAATGAGTCTATAAATATTTTATTATTTTTTATTCAATGTGAAATTTTGAATTATTTAAATTATTTTAAATTTTTTTTGTCATAAATAATACATACGAAAAAATTGATGTAAGTATACCAAATTAATCACGACTTTTGTTGGAAGTCTCACGTCAACTAGAGATAAGACCAAATTATAATATCTTAGTGAGGTGCAAACCTCACCTTACAAGTCAGTTTTGTTGGGTTGAGTTAGACTTAAAACCCACTTCTTAATATGGTATCAGAGTCATGATTAAGAGTCTATCCTAACGATATTTCTAGTTTCTTGGACATTTGTATTTCATCCACTATCGGGTTATTATTGAACTATCCAATTTCTACTGTTACGCACGATATGTCTATACCTTGGTTTGTGGAGTTGAGTTAGGCTTAAAACCCACTTCTTAATAATCTTGGCTTTGATTATTTGATAGTATACATAGCATATTGAAAGAAAGAAAGAAAATATAAGAAATAGTTACCTCCATTGAGCCATAGAAGGAGGGGCTTGTTAGAAGCATTTTGAGGTGACTCTACAAAGTAATAGAACAATCTTCTTCCTCTTTTGGCATCCACAGTTACATAGCCACCATACTGATCAAAATCTACACCTTCTGGTTCTCCTGGTAAACCCTTCACTCTGTCACCTTCCATCAACACCCTTTCTTCTTCAACCTTCCATAAATCTTCATCACCACCATTTCTGCCCACTGAAGCTTCTTCTGATGACATCCCTTTCTCATCGCTCCTCTTTGATCGAATTAACCTGTACAGATATTCCCCTTGTTTGTTCCCCTCGCATGATATGCCAAACAGCCACCAACACAAAAACATCAACCACACAACAGTTTTTCTTGACAACATTGGACTCCTCTTTTATGTTGTTTTCTCAGTGTTCCGTTCTGTATATATATATTTCGAGACTTTAAATTACATTTTGAATCCTTGGTCCATACCCTTAAATAGTATTTTCAATAGAAAAAATATATATAAGATTCCTATTAATAAAAATATCTATCGTTATTTGATAATATATGAACAAAAATCAATGTATATCATTCATGGGGTGGTGATGAGAAGTTATATACTCTTTTGTGATGTGTTGGCGTTGTCAACTGAATAAAGTGATGTTACATATGTATTAACTCATTTATGTTTTTGTTGTTAGAGTATTATATTCACCATTCACAACTTTTTTTTTTCTTAAATTATACAAAACCTTTCAATATATATATATATATATATATATATCTTGATTTAATCAACAATCATTAGTATTTAATGGAAGGCAGTTCAAGCTCTGACTTTGTGGAAATAATGTTATTATATATTTATTATTTGGTAAGATGAAAGCATATATAACTACTATGAATTTAAATGAAAGCATTGTTTTCAGTTTTGAATGTAGAAATTATAAAAGTGGTGTATATGTGAACATCAAATGATTAGTTCCATTGATGAGAAATTATATATAATTGGATTTATTAATATTTAATGGTGTGAAGACGAGTGAATATTTTGAAAAGAGGGTTTGTTCTGTAGCTCATTTACCAACATTGACATGAAGCTGATATCATAAATTTAGGTTTTCATTTTATTAATGTTGCATATTCAGACGAAAGTGTCGTGTGCCATTACCCAAACACAGTGCATTGGTGTCAGAAAATAAACCAAACAAAATGAAACCTGCAAAACATTAGGCATACACGAATTTAGTTTCTAACCAAACCAATGTGTTTATTTTATGACTTTTTTTTTTGTCATAAACCTAACTGATATAATAATAATTGAAATAGAAAATGGTTGAGAAATCCATGCATTGATATGTATATGGACACTATCTGTCCCATCAAGAAGGAACATTATAAGTCATACGTGTTTTTTCTTTTTTTCTTTTTGAGAAGAGAGTTATCTTATTCTCTCAAATCAAAATTTAAAAACAAGGTTTTTTCTTATTTATATTCTGGAAATTCCTAGTTGTCATAAGATTGTATAATACACATTCTTTTACGGTGAGATTTGTAT